AATGGAAAATTAAAAAACACATTTTGAAGAATTTGATTAATTTTTTCGAACTTTTATTACATTTTATTGCATTTTATTGCATGTTATTGCATTTTATTTCCTATTCATTTATATTTTGGGGAATTTAATTACATTTGGCGAAGTTTTATTACACTTTGTTACATTTCCTTACAGGTTATTGCGCCATGCTGTGCATGCATGCGCACTTTATTCTATTTAATTGCATTTCATTAAATTCAATTATATTTTATTTAATTTAATTCATTTTATTGCAAAGACATGCATCTTTTAATGCGTTGGAAGTGTTTGATCAAACTCTGTTTCATTTCATTGAACTTTGCTGCACTTCATTGAATTTCGCTGCACTTTATTGCAAAGACATGAATATTTAATTGCAATTGATTAAATTTATTGAAATTTATTTATTTTCGTTTTATTTAAGTGTCTTTTTCTAATTTTCAAATACATAAATGCAAACTTGAACACAAAAATGGATGAAAAAAACACAAGACAAAGGAATGCCCAGACACGAGAAAGACCCCAAAAGACAAATAAATAAACAAATAAATAAACAAATAAATTAATTGTTTAAATGAATAAATAAATTAATAATAAAATTGGATTTGTAAAAGACTTTCTTGTTCAAGTTTTCCGGGGGCCTCGCAGCTCTTGCAGCAGCCTTGCTGCTGCTGCCTGCACATGGCCTGCAGCAGAAGTAGCAGCAGCAGGTGCTGCTGCTGCTTTTGCTGCTGCTTTTGCTGCTGCTGCTGCTGCTGTCGCTACGGGATGTCTGGTTTTCAATGTTGGGGCCATCAGCCAGCAGCAACCCGACCCCGCGTGCTGCCGCTGCTGCTGTTTCTGCTGCTGCTGCTGTTTCTGCTGCTGCTGCTTCTGCTGCTGCTGCTGCTGGTAGGACTCGCTGGACGGCCCCAGCGGCAGCTGCAGAAGGGCTGCAGCGGGGACCAAATGGAAGCATTTTGCTGCTTCATATTTACTTTTTATTTATTTAATTATTCATATTCACTTTTTAATTTATATATTCATTATTTATTTTCTCGTCTTCCTCTTCTGCTGTTTCTAAAACCTTGTACGCCGGAAACCATTGAACGGGTGCTGCTGCTGCTGCTGTTGCTGCTGCTGTTGCTGCTGCAGAAGGTGCCGCAGGAGCTTCTGCAGCAGCAGCACGCACAACAGTGTCAGCTGCTACTGCTGCTGCTGCAGAGCAGCAGTAGCAGCACTAGCGGAAGCAGTACGTTTTGCTGCTAGCTGCAGATGCTATTGCAGCAGCAGCACACTGCAGCAGCAGCAGCAACAGCAGCCTGTGCTGCTGCTGCTGCTCCTGCCATTCCAGCCTAGTTACGGCAGCTGCAGTGTTTGCTGCTCCTAAGGTTTAATAATGAGTGCCGCAGTAGCGCTTGCTGCTGCAATTGAGTTCTTGCTGCTGCTGCAGCATCCGTGTTGCTGCTGCAGCGGAAGCGAGATTTTCTCTGCTGCTGCTGCTGCAACATCGATTGCAGCAGAAGCAGCCGCTGCTGCCGCAGCAATTGCAGCTATAGCAGCTGCTGAAACGCTGCAGCTTGTGCCTCTTAACGGTATCAATTGGCCGTGCTGCTGCTGTTGAAGCAGCAGCAGCAGCAGCAGCAGCAATACGTTTTGCTGCTAGACTTTCGCTGTTTCGAGCCCTCAGTCTTAAGGAGAGCCGCACATCGCTATTTCTTTGCTGAGGCAAAATGATAAAACTACAGTTTCTATTTGTCCTGCTGCTGCTGCGCCAACTGCTGCAGCAGCAGCTGCTGCTGCTGCTGCCGCGCCAATTGCTGCAGCAGCAGCAGCTGCTGCTGCCTCTACCAGTGCATTTGACGGTCCCAGTGCTGCTGCTGCTGCTGCTGCTGCTCCGGCTGCTCCCACATTGTCGCGTGCTGCTGCAGCTCGTTCGGCAGGTCTTGCCAGTCGCGCTGCTGCAGCCACCTGCCCTCCTGAGCCTCCTGCTGCTGCTGCTGCTGCTGCTGCTGCTGCTCCTGCTGCTGCCGGTGCTGCGCAGGCACTTCGTCCTCAAGCTCTCCTTTCGCCTTGAGCTGCTTAAAAAAGGTCTGGTGGTCTATGGGGGGCCCGTGGCCCTCCACTACCGTCCCTGAACAGCCACAAACCCTAAACCCTAAACCCTAAACCCTAAACCCTAAACCCTAAACCCTAAACCCTAACTTATAAATCCTAAATCCTAAAGCATACAGCCTGCCGGGTACCCAAAGTACCGCCCAAAGCGCTAAAGCTTCGGCCCTAGCACATCCAATCTGCTGCTGTTGCTGCTGTTACTGTTGCTGCTGCTGCTGCTTCTGTTGCTGTTGCTGCTGCTGCTCGTCCTGCTGCTGCTGCTGCTGCTGCTGGTTCTGCTGCCCACCGTCCAGTAAAGTCTCTGAAGGCTTCGCGTGCATTTTGGCGCAGAGAAGGGCACCCAGTGAAGGCGGCAGCTCCTGCAGCAGCAGCAGCAGCAGCAGCAGCAGCAGCAGAAGCACAGCAGCAGCAACCGGTCGCATGGATTGAGGGTTTCAATGTGCTGCTTTTGCTGCTGCTGCTGCTGCTGCTGCTTGCGGCTGCGTCTGCAGTGCGCAGGTCCTTCTGTCTCCCTTGCTTTTTATTTAAGCGGCGACGCGCTTCAAGTTTGCCTCTTTGTCTCTTCTCCTGACAAGCTGCTGCTGCTGCTGCTGCTGCTGCTGCTGCTGCTGCTGCTGCTGCTGGGTGGCAGCTAGATGCTAGTGGCGCTGGGCGAATGCTATTTCGGCTTTTTCTGTTCCTTTTGCTGCTGCTTGCCCTCACCCCTTCCGCAGCACTCCTAGCTAGCTAGTTCTCTGCCCTGGCTAGCTAGCTAGCCCCTCAGTCCCCAGCTAGCTAGCTAGCTAGCTAGCTAGCTAGCTAGCTAGCTAGCTGACCCTCTCCTCTGGCTAGCTGGCTAGCCCCTGAAACTCCGGCTAGCTAGCCAGGACCTCTTCCCTGGCTAGCTAACTGGCCTCTCAACACCCCGACTAGCTAGCTAGACCCTTTCTTCTATCTAGCTAGCCAGCTAGCTGGCTAGCAAGATAGCCAGCTAGCTGGCTGGCTAGCTAGCTAGCTAGCTAGCTAGGCAGCAGTTATTTCTAGAGACAAGTCCCATTTCAGTGTTTCGCGACCCCCCTCAAGCCACCCCTCTCTTGCCCAGCTAGCTAGCTATCCCCATGCTTCTCCAGCCAGCTGGCTAGCTAGCCAGCGAGCTATCCAGCTAGCCACCTAGCTAGCCACCCAGCGGGCTAGCTAGCTGGGCAGCTAGCTAGCTGGCAGGCCAGCTAGCGAGCCAGCTAGCCGCCCAGCTGGCCACTTAGCTAGCCACCCAGCTACCCAGCAAGCCGCCTAGCTAGCTCGCCAGCTAGCCAGCGAGCCAGCTAGCCAACCAGCTAGCTAGCCAGCTAGCTAGCTAGCTAGCGAGAGCCTCACGGTGCCGTCTCTGCTTTTCTTGAGGGGCAAGTCCCCGTTCCAGGGATTTGTGACTCGGCCCATGTCTTCGAAGTCCGCTCTGCATTGCTTCAGCCACAAGACCCGGAAGTTGGGGCCCAGCTTCAGCTGCACCGAGCCCCACAGCCCTGCAGCAGCAGCAGCAGCAGCAGCAGCAGCAGCAGCAGCAGCGGCGGCGGGGCGATGCACGCAGCAGCCAGAAGGCGCGAAGCCCAGCTGCAGGAGCCCGAGAGACGCAAAAATAGGCAGAGAAGCAGCAGCAGCAGCAGCAGCAGCAGCAGCAGCAGCAGCAGCAGCAGCAACAGCATTAGCAGCAGCAGCAGCATTAGCAGCAGCATTAGCATTAGCAGCAGCATTAGCATTAGCATTAGCAGCAGCAGCACCGCAACAGCAGCACAGCAGCAGCAGCAGCAGCAGCACCGCAGCAGCAGCAGCAGCAGCAGCACCGCAGCAGCAGCAGCAGCAGCAGCACCGCAGCAGCAGCAGCAGCACCGCAGCAGCAGCAGCAGCAGCAGCAGCAGCAGGCTTGCCGGGGTAGAGGTGAGGCAGGGGGGGCGTCATCATGCGCGCGAATCCCTGGAAGCCGCCGCTCTCGTTCGCAGAGAACAGCAGCAGCACATGATCAGCAGCAAAGAAAGCTGCTGCCAGCTTTTTGGTGTTGCTGCGGCTGGTGGCCCAGGCGCCGCGGTGGACGGAGAGGCAGACGTTGGCCATTTTGCTGCTCTTCAAGATGAAGAACCTTTTGCTGCTGCTGGCAGCAGCAGGAACTCCCCACGCGTCCACCAGCAGCGGCACGTACACGCCTTCGCTGCTGCTGCTGCTGCTGCTGCTGCTGCTGCTGCTGAGGCCTGCGGCGGCCGCGGGCGTCAAGGCCGAGGAGCCCACGCCCGCAGCAGCAGCAGCAGCAGCGCTCGACGAGTGGCTGCTGCTGCTGCTGCTCTCTCCACACTCCGAGCTCCGCGGGGAACCCTGCACCCCCTGCTGCTGCTGCTGCTGCTGCTGCTGCTGCTGCCCCTTCTGCTGCAGCTGACGCACTTGCTGCGCCACACGGTCCAACGCCGCCTGAGTCACCGGGTCCACCGTCGCAGGAAACACATCCTGACAGCAGCAGCAGCAGCAGCAGCAGCAGCAGCAGCAGCAGCAGCAGAGCAGCACAAGCAGCAGCAAGTGGCCTCTCACGTACTCGAAAGCACATCTACACGCCCTGGACTCAAACCAAACGTTCACACCCCAAACCCTAAACTCCAACCCTAAACCCTAAACCCTAAACCCTAAACCCTAAACCCTCAAGAGCCCGGCCGCCAGCGCCCAGCAAGTGAACCCCAATCCTGCTGCCGCCAGACGCGAAGGCCCCCTCCCAGCCCCAAACCCCAACCCCAACCCCCAAACCCTAAACCCTAAACCCTAAACCCTAAACCCTAAACCCTAAACCCTTGGCACCTTGAAGTTGGCCACAACAGCCTCGAGAAACCAGTTGGGAGCCACCGGAGGCATCAAAGATCTGTTTAGCTGCGTGTGTCTCTTTCTGCAGCGGGGCCCTTGTTTGCAGTAGCCGAAGAAGTAGTGGAGACACTCTTGCTGCTGCTGCTGCTGCTGCTGCTGCGTGTAGTTGCTGCTCCCGCTGCTGCACAGCAGCCGACACGCGTCCGACCCTATCAGGCTCTCCACCGTCTCGTTTTGCTGCTCGTGTCGGTACACGCAGCAGCCCCTAATAGCAGCAGCAGCAGCAGCAGCAGCAGCAAGGGAGGCTTCTCGCATCAAGCACACACGCCTTAGCAGCAGCAGCAGCAGCAGCAGCAGCAGCAGCACAGCAGCAGCACAGCAGCAGCAGCACCGCAGCAGCAGCAGCACCGCAGCAGCAGCAGCAGCACCGCAGCAGCAGCAGCAGCAGCACCGCAGCAGCAGCAGCAGCAGCACCGCAGCAGCAGCAGCAGCAGCACAGCAGCAGCAGCAGCACAGCAGCAGCAGCCGCAGCAGCACCGCAGCAGCACCGCAGCAGCAGCAGCAGCAGCACCGCAGCAGCAGCAGCACCGCAGCAGCAGCAGCAGCACCGCAGCAGCAGCAGCAGCAGCAGCAGCACCTGGCTGCGTCGAGGCAGGCGCCGTCGAGCCTGCACTTGGGCATGCGGAGGTAAATGACTCTGTGGAGGAAATCGCATGCAGCCCCACGCATGCATGCGCCTCTCCACCAGTGGCGGCAGACAACGCTGTGTCTGCCTCTTGCTGCAGCAGCAACAGAGTCGGAGCCGAGGACTCCCTGCTGCAGCAGCAGCTGCTGCTGCTCCTGCTGCTGCTGCTGCAGCAGCGGCTCGAAAAAAAACTGCGTCCGCAGGTACCGCGGCGCCGCCGAAGCTGCTGCTGCTGCTGCCGCCCACGCGCCGCTGCTGCTGCTGCTGCTGCTGCTGCGCACCGCTGCTGCTGCTGCTGCTGCAGGGCTCGGCGGCAGCGAAAACGAAGAGTGCGGAAACCCCTCCCGGGACGGGAGCGACCCTGCATGCATTGCTGCAGCACACTGCAGCAGCAGCAGCAGCAGCACCAGCAGCTGCTGCTGCTGACGCCGCCGCTCCTGCTGCTCAGGCCTGTGCCCCACGTGCAGGTGCTGCTGCTGACGTGCTGCTGCTGCTGCGAAACGCTGCGCACCTGCCAGACAACGCTGCTGCAGGGCTCCCACTCGGGCTGCTGCTGCTGCTGCTGCTGCTGCTGCTGCTGCTGCCCGTGTCGGCGCTGCTGCTGCAGCCTCTGCCGCTGCGGCAGACGCTGCTGCAGCGCTTGTCTCACTGCTGCTGCTGTTCCTCCCGCGCGCTGCTGCTGCTGCTCCTGCTGACGTTTCCCCTCTTGCTGCAGCTGCTGCGGCGCGTGTGAATACTGCTGCTGCTGCCGCCGCTGCTGCTTCTGCTGCTGCTGCTGCTGCTGCCGTTGTTGGAGCCTCGACTGCTCTTGCAGCAGCTGCTGCTGCTGCTACAGCCTTGCTGCTCCCGCGGGAGGTGCGGTTTCGTCAGTGCTGCTGCGGTCGACTCTGCTGCTGCAGGTTCTGCTGCAGCAGCTCCTTCCTCTGCTGCAGCAGCAACAATGCTCTTGCTGCTAATCAAATCCTACTTTGTTTTATAATTGCAAATCAATATGTTATAAACCCTCATGGAGACAACGGGGCCCGTGGGGCTTTGATTCCTGCTGCATGCGTGAGACCCAAGCCTTAAACCCTCAACCCTAAACCCTAAACCCTAAACCCTAAACCCTAGACCTCACGGCGTGAAATTGTTACTTCCGTGTCTTTGCAGGCCTCTGTGTTCTAATTTATCACGCCAATTGGCTGTGATGACTAGCCTTTTTGCGGCAGCAGCAGCAGCTGCTGCTGCTGCAACGACTAGTTCTGCTGCTGCTGCTGCTGCACGCTCAGGCGCAGCAGCAGGAGGAGCTCTTGCTGTGCGCGCCTACCGCTGTGTAGGTTGCAGCATTAGAAGGTTTTCCGCTGCTGCTGCTGCTGCAGCAGTAGCAGCTCCGGCAGCAGCTGCTGCAGCAACGGGAAGTGCAGCAGCAGCAACGCATGCTGCTGCTGCAGCACTAATTGCGAAGAAGTGCCGCATCAGCATCAATGCCTTATCAGAGGCCGATCTCAGCCGTAAGGCAGAAGCTGCCGCTGCAGCGCAAGCTGCGTTCCTCAGCAGCAGCAGCAGCAGCAGCAGCAGCAGCAGCAGCAGCAGCAGCAGCATGTTCAGCGTGTCCATTGGGAGCACCCCCGTAAAGACAACGGAGGGGGTGGAACTGCTGCTGCCTTCTCGTGCTGCTGCTGTTGCTGTTGCTGCAGAAGCGCTGCGTGTGCAGCGGTACGTGCAGCAGCAGCAGGAGCTGCTGCTGCAGCAGCAGCAGCAGCTGCAGGAGAAGCAGCAGCAGCAAGGTCGGCAGCTGCCGCTGCACCTCCTGAGGCGTCCTTTGACAGGGCTGCTCGCCTTCGCCCAGGACGTGTCCTTTCAGCAGCAGCAGCAGAAGCAGCAGCAGCAGAAGCAGCAGCAGCAAGGGCAGCAGCAGCAAGCACTGCAGCAGCAAATCGTAGAAGAACTGCTGACGTTCGTAGAAACTGACACAGCGCTCTGCCGCGAGGCTTCTGCGCGGCCTGAGGCCCTGCTGCAGCAGGACACAGCAGCAGCAGCAGCAGCAGCTGCTGCTGCTGCTGCTGAAGAGGGCAGCAGCAGCAGCACGCCGGCCTTGCTGCAGCAGCAGTGCCGCAGCTGGGAACTCCGTGCTGCAGTGCTGCTGCAGGAGCAGCTGCTGCTGCCTCCAATTGTTGCTGCTTTCAGCAGCAGACACAAAGTGCTGCTGCGGAGCAGCGAGGGTATACAGGCAGCAACGCAAACCCCCGAGACCTTGCAGGTGAGGGTTTAGGGTTTAGGGTTTAGGGTTTAGGGTTTAGGGTCTACGGCTGAGGGTTTAGCAGCTAAGCGCTGGGGCAAGGGCTGCGGCAGTGTCAAACTAAGGACCTCCAGACTAGGGTTTGCTCGCGGCGGTGAGGGTTTAGGGTTTAGGGTTTAGGGTTTATGTTTGGCCAGGCGCGCCGAACCCTCTGTTGTGGGGGGTTTGCAAACCCTAAACCCTAAACCCTAAACCCTAAGCCCTCGCTCGCGAGCGATTGATCTTCAGTATCACAGCAGCAGGCAGGGAGCGGCTGCGTTTGTTGCTTTTCACGGTCTTAAATCAGCCGTTGCTGCTGCTGCTGTTGCTGCTGCTGCTGTTGCTGCTGCTGCTGCTGCTGCTGCTGCTGCTGCTGCTGCAGCGTTTGCGGGCGTATCTGAAGCAGCTGACGCCGCTGCAGCTGGTGGCGCTGCAGGCTGCTGCAGGGCAGCTGCGTTCTGTCATCATTGCTGATGAGTTGCTGTTTGGCTCCGCGCTGCAGCAGCAGCCAGCTGCTGCTGCTGCTGCTGCTGCTGCTGCTGCTGCTGCTGCTGTGCCTGCTGCGGGAGGGAGCGCGGGCCAGAGTGCTGCGAGTGCTGCAGCAGGCTGCCCTCCTCGGGCAGCAGCAGCAGCTGGAGAAGGTGCTGCTGACGCTGCGACTGCAGCAGCAGCAGCAGCAGCAGCAGCAGCAGCAGCGTCAGCAGCAACAGTAAGGAGGGCCTGGGAAGCTAGCAGCATTGAGACGCAGCAGCAGCAGCAGCACTGCGGCACTGTCTGCGGCGCCCACGACACAGCAGAAGCAGAAGCGCTGCTGTGGCTCAGTGCAGCAAGAGCTGCTGTTTCTCTCTTTTGATGGCTGCTGCTGCTGCTGCTGCTGCTGCTGCTGCTGTGGAGGTTTGCTGCTGCTGCTGCTGCTGTGGCAGTTTGCTGTTGTTGCTGTTGACTGCTGCTGCTGCTGTAGTGTGGTGCAATAATTGTTCCCATGCCGCGCGCGCGCTGCAGCAGCCACGGCTGCGGCGGCGGCAGCAGCAGCAGCAGCAGCAGCAGCTGCTGCTGCTGCTGCTGCCAAAGCGATACTAGATTGGCGGACGCAGCAGCAGCAGCAGCCCTCAGCTGCTGCTGCAGTATTCCTAGCAGCGCAGCGCACGCTGGAATGGCGTGCAGCAGTCGCAGCGAAACAGTTCTTAACTCTTGTTTAGGGTTTAGGGTTTAGGGTTTGGGAGATGGAGTCTGGGGTCTTTAGGGTTGCTGGGTGTCTTGGACTCTCTGCGCTTCTCAGAAACGGGGCCAGCGTTTCACTAGCGAGGGTTTAGTGTTTAGGGTTTAGGGTTTAGGGTTTAGGGCTTGAGGAAAGCCAGGGACCACCGGGGCTGCATGCGCAGCAGCAGCAGCAGCAAGAGCAGCAGCGGGAAGGAAAGAGCAGCAAACTGTGACTGCTACTCTTCTTCCAAAATAAAATTGAGTCTTTATCGGCAGGTGTGCAGCAGCAGCAGCAACGGCGACACGAACAGCAGCAGCAGCAGCGGCAGCAGCTGCTGCAACAAGAGTTGCTGCGGCGGCAGCAGCCGCGGCAGTTGCTACGGCTGCACCTTGAGAGGCTCCAGCAGCAGCAGCAGCAGCAGCAGCACAAGTTGCACCTGAGGACACGCGACGAGGCAGCAAGTGCAGCAACACAATGGCAGCAGCAGCAGCAGCAGCAGCAGCAGCAGCAGCAGCAGATTGCCTCCAGCCGCCCCTGCTGACGGTGCACTACTTTCCCTGTGGGGCCCCCCCGTCTTCTCGCAAGCCAGGAGGCCACAGACGCAGCAGCAGCAGCGCGAAGCAGCAGCAGCAGCAGCAGCAGCAGCAGCAGCAGCCGGTGATCCTGGACCCTGTGCTGCTGGCCATTCGGGTCTATGCTGCTATCAGTGGGCAGCAGCTGCTGCTGCAGCAGGAGCTCTGCAGCAGCGCGGGGCAGCAGCTGCCTGCTGCTGTGTTCAACGGCGGCGTTGCGTCGCGGGAGGAGCTGCTGCTGCTGCTGCAGCTGCGGCGGCCGCTGCTGAACAGCAGCAGCAGCAGCAGCAGCAGCAGCAGCAGCAGCAGCAGCACGGCTCCGCGCAGCCACCAGCAGCAATGCATAGAAGACCTGATAGCAGCAGCAGCGTGGGGCCCCTTGTCTCGTGCTGCTGCGTTTCTGCTGTACGTACACCCCAGCAGCTACAGCAATTATACTTTTCCTTGCCTGACTTCTGGGGGGGCCCCCTGGCTTGCTGCTGCGCTGCATGCGCGGCAGCAGCAGCAGCAGCAGCAGCAGCAGCTGGGGCAGCTGCAGCTGCGGGACGCGCTGCAGCAGCTCGTGGACGGGATACAGACCGTCAAGGCCCTGAGCGGCATAGAAGCCTTCCCAGCAGCAGCAGCAGCAGGTGCAGCAGCAGCAGCAGCAGGTGCAGCAGCAGCAGCAAGTGCAGCAGCAGGCTTCAGCTGCTGCAGCAAAGGCCGCCACTTGCTGCTGCAGGACAATGACATATCCTTTGCTGACGTTCTGGTGTATGCACACCTCGCAGTGCTGCTGCAGCTGCCAAAGGGAGCTGCCCCCTGGAGGCGCAGCAAGAAGCAGCAGCAGCAGCAGCAGCAGCAGCAGCAGCAGCAGCAGCAGGAGGTGCCCACACCTGCGAATAGTAGCACGGTGGAGGATTCCGGAGCAGCAGAAACTGCAGCAGCAGATGCTGCAGCGCCTACCGCAGCAGCAGCAACAGAGGCAGCAGCAGCAGCAGCAGCAGCAGCTAATTCGTGGCAGCTGGAGGTCGAGGGCCTGGACAGCAGCAAACCAGAAGACCAGCAGCTGCAGCAGCAGCTGCAGCAGCTGCTGCAGTGGGCAGGGCACTATGTGCAGCTCTTCGAGCAGCACCTCGCTGTACTAAGCAGCCGCCGTGCTGCTGCTGCTGCAGCAGCAGACCAGCAGCAGCAGCAGCAGCAGCAGCAGCAGCAGCAGCAGCAACTTGCTCCTGTATATGCGCTGTCTCAGACATACCGCATTTGCCGCTGCCCTCCAGGCAGCAAAAATGCCTGCCGCTGCCGTGCGGCGCCAGACAGCAGCAGCAGCAGCAGCAGCAGCAGCAGCAGCAGCAGCAACGACGCCTGCAGCAACCCTACAGAGGTTAAAGTGCACAAAGAGGAACTGGTGTTCATTGCTGTTGCTGCTGCTGCTGCTGCTGCGGGTTTGCTGCTGCACCGCTTGGGAGCTTTGCAGGCTCTAGGCCGACTATTGTGACAGGCGAAAAGCAGCAGCAGCAGCAGCAGCAGCAGCAGCAGCAGCAAGCTGTTAGCAGCAGAACTTGCTGCTTGTAAAGTGCTGCACTGTGTTTGTTGCTGCTCCTGTGGAGTGCACAGACAGACCTGCTGCTGCTGCTGCTGCTGCTGCTGCTGCTGCTGCTGCACTTTGCAGCAACTGCAGCAGCAGCTTCGGGTAAATCGTTTTTGTGTGTCTTGTGGGGTGTATGTACAGTTGAAACCTGACAGCGTGCCCCTGCTGCTGCTTAGAGCCGAGCAGCAGCACAGCAGCAGCAGCAGCACAGCAGCAGCAGCAGCAGCAGCAGCAGCAACAGCAGCAGTAGCAGCAGCAAAACTGAACATAAAGATGAGTCAGCTCTGAGCAGGCCTCTTCGCATGCAGCCCGCGAAGACAAATATATTTTAATACTAATATTTATTCAAGTTAGTTTGTTTTGATTAATTAAATTAAATTAAATTAATTAAATTAATTTAATTAATTAAATTAAATTAAATTAAATTAATTAAATTAATTAAATAAGAAGAAAAGCTGGTAGGCAGCTAAGAGGTGCTTCTGGCCGTAGCGGCGCTGTCGGCACACCCCAAGCAAAGCAGCAGCAGCAGCAGCAGCAGCAGCTGCTGCTGCTGCTGCTGCTGCTGCTGCTGCAGCAACGGCCTGCTGCAGCGCTGCAGAAGGGCAAATGCGACAGCGCGAAGGAGAGAAAAGGCCAACACGGATACGACTGAAGACAGTGCTGCTGCTGCCGCTGCTGCTGCTGTTGCTGCTGCTGCTGCTGTTGCTGCTGCTGCTGCTGTTGCTGCTGCTGCTGCTGCTGCTGCTGCTGCGTCGTAGTAGGTTCCTGGCTGCTGCTGCCTCCTCTCTGCTGCTGCGGCTCTTCATTTGGGCGCCCGCGTGCAGTGTTGGCGGCTGCCAAATACTCAGGGTTTAGGGTTTAGGGTTTAGGGTTTAGGTTTGCTGCTCTCTGCTTCTCGATTTTTCTAGCCTCTTCACCGAGGCGCCTTCTAGCAGCAGCACAAACGCCTTTGCTGCAGCAGCAGCAGAAGCAGCAGCAGCAATCCCCGCTGCTGCTGCTGCTGTCTTGCTGCTGCGTTGCGGCTGCCGCCGCTGTCTGCGGCACTCACCGCCAGCCCCAGTAAACCCTAAACCCTAAACCCTAAACCCTAAACCTCTTACCTAAAGGCTAAAGGCGCTGCTGCTGCTGCTCACAGCCCTCGGCATCTAAACCCTTAGCAGCAAACCCTAACCCCTAAATCCTAAACCCTCGACTTGTGGGGTCGGTGTTTGGGCGCCGGGTAGGGGGCCTAGGGTTTAGGGTTTAGGGTTTAGCGCTTAGGGTTTAGGCGTGTGCAGTCTGTTTTTTTGCTGCAATTGCGCTTTAGACATAAATGGAGATTTAAATGCAGAAAGTTGCTGCTGCAGCGGCTGCTGCGGCGCCAGCAGCAGCCGCAGGACAGCAGCAGCAGCAGCTGCAGCCGCTGAGCGGCAGCAGAAGCAGCAGCAGCAGACGACCCGCAGAGCAGCAGCAGCAGCAACAATACTTATATTTGCTGCTTTTCTCCTGGGCCCTTTACATTTGTCACTCTGCATTTGCTGCCAGCGACCTCTGCTGCAGTGTACATACACCTGGAGCCTGCTGCTGCTGCTGTTGCTGCTGCGGCGACTGCAGCAGCAGCAACTGCAGCAGACCCGAAACAGGTACTCCTGCGGACGAACGGCATTAATCTTAAGTCCTCTGCTGCTGCTGCTGCAGCTGAGCCTGCCCCTGCTGCCTGTGCTGCTGCTGCTGCCTCTGCTGCTGCTGCTGCTGCTCTCCCGCCGCATGCAAGCTGAGGCTCGGCCGGTCGACTGCTGCAGCAGCGCTGTGCAGCAGCAGCTGCAGCAGCAGCAGTTGATTTGCTGTTGTAGGATGGCCGCAGTTGGAGGCCCAGATGTGGCATGAGGGACTCGCTGCAGCAGCAACAGCAGCAACAGCAGCAACCGCAGCAGCAGCAGCAGAATGGCCCCTTCAAATAGTTCCTACTCTGCCTCGGGCAGAGGGGGAGGCAGCAGCAGGGGAGGGGGTCGGCCCTACGGGCGTGCTGCTGCCAGCAGCAGCCCTGCAGCAGCAGCAGCAGCAGCAGCAGGAATAGCAGCAGCAGCAGCCGGCGGTCCTGCTGCGTCTGGCGCGGGCAGCAGCAGCGCGCGCAACGACAGCAGCCTGGCTGCTTCGCGGGGGGGCCGCGGCAGCAGCAGCAGCAGCAGCAGCTCGCTGCCGAGCAGCAGCAGCAGCAACAGCAACGCTGCTGCTTCCCCCCACAGCAGCGCGACGAGCAGCAGCAGCAGCAGCAAGAAGTCCCAACTGCCTGCAGCAGCAGCAGCAGCAGCAGCGCCCCCAGCGGCGACCGCGGCAGTGGAGGGCTCGTCCGAAAGCGCCTCGGGCCCCGCAGCAGCAGCAGCAGCAGCAGCAGCAGCAGCAGCAGCAGCAGCAGGGGAGCAGCAGCAGTTCGAAACGCGGGAACAGGCGCTGCAGCGGCAGCGCAGCAACTTCGGACTTTTGGGAATTTTAAAAGTAATTAAAACAGCAGATCCCGACTTGAGTGTTTTGGCCTTGGGGACGGACTTGACCAGTCTCGGCTACAACTTAAACTCCACAGAGTAAGCAGCAGCAGCAGCAGCAGCAGCAGCAGCAGCAGCAGCAGCAGCAGCAGCAGCGGGGGCAGCAGCAGCGGCGGGCGCAGCGGCGACGACCCGCAGCGGCAAACGCGCGCGCCGGCAAAGGCCGGGAGGCAGCAGCAGCAGCGAACTGCTGCAGTAGCAGCAGCAGCAGCAGCAGCAGCAGCAGCAGCAGCAGCACACGACACACTCAGCAGCAGCAGCAAGTGACACACTTAGCAGCAGCAAGTGACGCACTTAGCAGCTGCAGCAGAGTGCTGTCTTCGCTGCAGCAGCAAATAGCTGGCTTAGCTGCAGCAGCAAAGTCGCAGCAGCAGCAGCAGCACACGACACAGCAGCAACAGCAAGTGCCACACTTAGCAGCAGCAGCAAATGCCACACTTAGCAGCAACAGCAAATGACACACTGAGCAGCAGCAGCAGCAGCAAACTCCTGTCTGAGCTGCAGCAGCGAAGTCGCAGCAGCAGCAGCAAATGACACACTCAGCAGCGGCAGCAAACAACTGTCTTAGCAGCAGCAGCAGATGACTCTCTCAGCAGCAGCAGCAGATGACACACTTAGCAGCAGCAGCAAATAGCAGGCCTAGCAGCAGCAGCAAATAACAGGCCTAGCAGCAGCAGCAAATAACAGGCCTAGCAGCAGCAGCAAACAACAAGCCCAGCAGCAGCAGCAATTAACCGCCTCAGCAGCAGCAGCAAATAACAGCCCTAGCAGCAGCAGCAAATAACAAGCCCAGCAGCAGCAGCAATTAACCGCCTCAGCAGCAGCAGCAAATAACAGCCCTAGCAGCAGCAGCAAGTGACACCCTTAGCAGCAGCAAGCAGCAGCAGCAAATAATGGCAAAGATGAAGAGCAGCTGCAGCAAATGAAGTTTTTATTTTTTAATTTTGTCTTTTTAGTTTGTCTCCATTTTATTTTTTATTATTTAATTTTGCCACTTTTAATTCTTTATTATTTAGACATTGCTGCTGCTGCTGCTGCTGCTGCTGCTGCTGCTGCAGCTGCAGCAGAACTTGAGCCTTGCTTCGCGTTTTGCTGCTGCTCCTGGGCCTCACTGCCATTCCCCAGCCGCTCTAAACCCTAAACCCTCAACCCTAAACCCTAGCTCTAAACCCTAAACCCTCAAGTCTAAACCCTAGCTCTAAACCCTAAACCCTAACTCTAAACCCTAAACCCTTATTTTCAGGTGTCTCTACGGCGCATTCACTTCGCCCATCTCCGAAACGCCCGTCACGAAGACAGTCGAGTGAGCAGCTTTTTATTTATTTTATTTTATTTTATTTTATTTATTTTATTTATTTTATTTTGTTCATTTTATTTATTTCATTTTATTTATTTATTTGTTTTTTGATTTTATTTTATTTATTCTTATTTCCTTTTCTTTTTTGGGTCTTTCTTTTGACCCCCTTTTGTCTGCTTTTTGCTGCTTAGCTGCTGCTGCTTCTTTGCTTCCATTTTGCTGCTGCTGCTGCTGCTGCTGCTGCTGCTTCTGCGGCCATTTCTCTGCTGCTGCTGCTGCTTCCACAGCGACTTTGCTGCTGCTGCTGCTGCTTCCAAGGCCGCATTGCTGCTGCTGCTTCTGCAGCCACCTTGCTGCTGCTGCTTCTGCAGCCACCTTGCTGCTGCTGCTGCTTCCACCGCCACTTTGCTGCTGCTGCTGCTGCTGCTGCTGCTGCTGCTGCAGGGAGCTGCTGCCGCAGTGTTATGTTGCTGCTGCTCCAACTCCTTTCCGCACAAGTCATTTGGAGAAGTTGGAGACGAGAACTCTCTTTTACATTTTCTACACGAGCCCCCGCCTGCTGCTGCAGGTGCCTCCAAACCCTAAACCCTAAACCCTAAACCCTAAACCCTAGCGAGCTCCGAGCAGCAGCAGCGCCTGCCGGCGCCCTCCGCGCCGACGCTGCGCCTTGCACCGCACTTCCTGCTGCTGCTGCTGCTCTGCTGCTGCTACTTTGCTGCTGCTGCTGCTGCTGCGTTGCCGCTGCTACTGCTGCTGCCACTTTGCTGCTGCGACTGCTGCTACTTCTGCTGCTGCTTTGCTGCTGCTGCTCCGAATGCTCCTGCCACTTTGCTGCTGCTGCTCCTAGTGCTCCTGCCACTTTGCTGCTGCTGCTCCTAATGCTGCTGCCACTTTGCTGCTGCTGCTGCTGCTCCTCCTAATGCTGCTGCCACTTTGCTGCTGCTGCTGCTCCTAATGCTGCTGCCACTTTGCTGCTGCTGCTGCTGCTGCTGCTGCAGGGCTATGCTGCAGTGGAGCTGACGCGGCGGCAGTGGACTTACCACAAAGAATGGCGGAAGTGGTTTAGAGCAGCAGAAGCTCCAGGAGTTTCTTCGCTGCGGAAGCGTCTGCCGGAGGGGGGCGATCCGCTGCAGCAGCAGCAGCAGCAGCAGCAGCAGGAGCAGCAGCAGCAGCAGCAAGGGAGCAACGGCAGCAGCTGCGGAGAGGGCCAGGCCGGGAGCGCAGCAGCAGCCAAGGCAGCAGGTGAGCCCTTGCCGTGGGCTGCCTAGTTGCTGCTGCTCCTCTTGCTGCTGCTCCTGCTGCTGCTGCTGCTGCTGCTGCTGCTGCATCTTGCTGCTGAGAGCTGTTGCTGCTGCTGCAGATGGTGACGGGGAAGAAGCAACGCACTGGATCTGGTTCGACCCGATTTCCTGGACAGAAGCGTACGTCTGCAGCGCAGCAGCAGCAGCTGCTGCTGCTGCTGCAGCTGCTGCTGCTGCAGCAGCTGCTGCTGCTGCAGCAGCAGTTGCTGCAGCAACTGCAGCTGGAGCTGCAACTTCCCTTTTACTGTCGCTATTCGCTGTAGCAGTCTTTGCTCTTACTGTGCTGCTGCTGCTGCTACGACTGTTGCTGCTGCTGCTACGACTGTTGCTGCTGCTGCACCGCTGCTGCTGCTGCTGCTGTGTTCTTCTTTTTGCTGCTGCTGCTGCTGCAGTTCGTATGTGGGCGCGCTTCCGGCTTCTTGCTTCCTCCCCGAGGCGGAACTGAGAATGGCACTGCAGCAAGGTTATAAGGAAGCAGAATTGAATCAGGAGCTGCAGCAGCAGCAGATGCAGCAGCTGTACCTTGAGCACCAGCAGCACTTGTCGCAGCAGCAGCAGCACCTCAACCAGCAGCAGCAGCAGCAGCAACTTACGCAGCAGCAGCAACTTACGCAGCAGCAGCAACAACTTGCGCAGCAGCAGCAGCAACTTACGCAGCAGCAGCAACAACTTACGCAGCAGCAGCACCTCACGCAGCAGCAACAGCAGCAACTCACGCAGCAGCAACAGCAGCATCTCACTCAGCAGCAGCAGCAGCATCTAACGCAGCAGCAGCAGCAGCACCTCACGCAGCAGCAGCAGCAGCACCTCACGCAGCAGCAGCCCAAAGTCGACCAGCACGCTGCACTGGGAGACCATCAAGGGTCTGCTGCTGCTGCTGTTGCTGCACAGCCCGTTGCTGCCCACCCGCAGCAGCAGCAGCAGCAGCAGCAAGGGGGGCCCCCGGGGGGCCCCGCCGGCGGCGCTCTTAACGGAGGAGAGCTGCAGTCGGTCTGGAGTGGCTGGGCCAATCGCTAGGCAGCGGCTAAGTAGCAGCAGCAGCAGCAGCAGCAGCAGCAGCAGCAGCAGCAGCAGCAGGATGAAGAGGAGCAGCAGCAGCGAGAGTAGCAACAGCAACAGCAGCAACAGCGGCTGCATCATGTGCTGCAGCAGCACTTGCTGCTGCTGCTGGCGGAAGCAGCACTGCCACGCGTCGGCGTGGCTCCCGCTACGTACCTCTGTTGCTGCTGCAGCAGCAACGGCTGCTGCAGCGGCAACAGCTGCTGCTGCTGCAGCAGCAACGGCTGCTGCAGCGGCAACAGCTGCTGCTGCTGCTGCAGCAGCAGTAGTAACGGCAGCAGCGGCGTAATTGCAGCCCCATACATACCTCTTTATTTGATGTTTAGGGTTTAGGGTTTAGGGTTTAGGGGCTTTGCGGTTTAGGGTCTCGAACTGGGTGTTTAGGGTTTAGGGTTTAGGGTTTAGAATTAGGTATTAAAGGCTCCTAAAGGTCTTCATCTTGACTCTTAGGGTTTAGGGTTTAGAAGTAGGGTTTAGGGTTTAGGTCCTAGGGTTTGGAACTGGGGGTTCGGGGTTTAAGGTCTCGATCTAGGTGTTTAGAATCAAGGGTTTTAAGTTAAGGGTCTAGATTTAGGCCTGCGGGGCTCGAGGCTGAGGGTTTAGCGCAAGGGTTTAGGGTTTAGCACTAGGGTTTAGGGTTTAGGGTTTAGTTGCCGGTGTCGGGGCTTGCAGCAGCACAACGCGCTGAGGTTTCGGATTTAAAGTTGTTTTGAATTGATGAAAAGAGGGTTGGCTAGGGTTTAGGGTATAGGCGGTTTGAAGGGTGTTTTGAATAACGCAGCTAGGGTTTAGGGTTTAGGGTTTAGGGTTTAGGGCTTGGGATTTAGGGGGGTGCGACTTTTCAGGGAGATCAAGTTGTCTTCTTAGTTTGTAGAGGTCCTCAATGAGTTTATTTTTTAAAATTTCGATTTCTGAGGCCTAGGGTTTAGGGTTTAGGGTTTAGGGTTTAGTAGATACCGGGCAGGCGCTCTGGTGCAGCAACAGATGCTGTCGGCTGCGCCTCCCAATTGGGGTTTAGGGTTTAGGGTTTAGGGTTTGCGGCTATAAATTGTTTTTGCCACTGAAATAGGTATGCGCAATTGGTGTGAAAAGCTGAGGGTTAGGGTTTAGGGTTTAGGGTTTAGGGTTTAGGGTTCGAGGGGCTTGACCACGAAGTGACCTCTTCCAGCCCGGCTGCTGCTGCTGTTGCTGCTGCTGCTGCTGCTGCGCGTGTCTCGACGCATGCAGTAATTAAATTTGTGAAATAAGTTTGAATTTGAAAGATCCATCGGTCGAGGGTTTAGGGTCTAGGGTTTAGGGTTTAGGGTTTGGGGCTCATCTGCTGCTGCGCGTGCGGGATTGCCTGGGCGTTCTGTGGGAGCGAAGCCTCACCAGCAAACCCTAAAC